GAGTCAGGTGCCTTCCTCGCTCATCGCTTTGGCATGGATCAGCCCCCCCCACCCCCCAGTGCCAGGCTGCCGAGGAGGAAGTTGGGCACGACCTCCGCCCACAGTCCCCTTCCCCAAACAAGTGATCCGTGTCCCGCCCATACCCGTCCCTCCTCGGAACCCACGCAGGAGAGCCTGATGGCACCGGCTTCTGCGGTGATTTGAAGCACAGCAGGCCCAGCGGCGCTGCGGGAACATTTCTCAAGTGCTGGCGGGTTCAAGCCCTGCCTCCGTTCCTGCACACCCAGCCCATGCTTGCGGTTAAGGCGGTAAAGACAGGGAGGTCTCCGGCTCTGAAGACCTCGTAAGCGAAGGAGCCAAAAGTGGTATCTCACTGGAGCCCGAGCCCTAAGAACCACTTGGCTGAGGCTCAGATCCGCAGGCCTCCGAAGGGCTGGCTGACCTTTGCGGCCGGGCGGCCTGCCTGGGGCCCTGTTACCCTCGGCTCTTCCCCGAGGCTGCCTCTGGAAAGCAATTTTCTAAAAGTAATTTTCTAGGCCCGTAACCAAGGTATTTTTAGCCACTCTGCGGCGGCCACAGCTCTGAGGCTGTGTGTGAGCAGGGACTCCGAGGGCAGGGCCAGAGAACATTCCTGAACCGCGGGCCCCTGCTCTGGGCTGGACCGGTTCCCAAGGCTAATTTAGAACTTGCATGACCCTTCCCCCAGAGAGCACAGCTCTTCCCGAGCAGCCCGAGGACAAAATCTGGCCCTGTGGTTGCTGGTATCTGTAGTGCGTTATCTTTCCCGGCTCAAAGCGGCAGAGGGCCACGGTCGCCCCGCTGGGAACAGCACCGCTTTCTGGACACGCGCAGACAGACTTGAAGAGTGGGGCTCCTAGGCTGGGACAGACGGACACGCTCTGGCCCAGGGATCCCCAATCTCCAGCCCCTGGGCTTGCGGTCTTCACCGTGTTTGCAATTCCTCTCGTGCTCTGTGATGTCGTTCACACGGATTCATTTTCTCGACCCACATCCTAAGAAAGACCGTGATTTTCTCGACCCGCATCCTAAGAAATACCATGAGTGCAACCTCATGAGTTTGACATACCATTTACTGTCTCTCTAACATGCCTTAAAGGAAGTTCTATTAAAAGTTGTAGAAGACGGAGAAAAACTCTTCTGTGGGACTTTGATAAGCAGTGACGAAACCGGCCGAGAGAACATCACACTTCAGGAGTGTCAGGACACGGCAGGCCCCAGCTTGCAGAGGAGATGCTGTTTATTGCCAGGCCTCTGCACGTGTCCTTTCTTCTGCCGTGCTCTCTCCCTCCCTCTCTCCTTCTCCCTCCTCCCTCTCTCTCTCTTTCTCTGTGTCTCAGACACACACACACACACACACACACACACACACCCCTTGTCCTCCTAGATAACTGACTTGACCTCCAGGGAGACCTTTCCCAGCCCCTCACCACCCAGCCTCCAAGAATGGACACACGCCCGTCCACACACCCTCTATCCACTGTGACTCCTGCCTATTGTCCTCCGTCAGCTCCGGGAAAAGACCCCTTTTTGCAAACGGATGTGAAGAGTGTGACCTCTGGACCCGCTTCCCAGCTGTGGCCTGGGGCAGGTCACTCGTGTGCTATCCCCAAGCTCCATGGTCCTCAGGTACAGGATGGGGTGGTGACAGAATGGGAGAATCAGATACAGCGGCCAAAATACCCAACATGGCGCAGCACGCGGTTAAGTGCTCAATAAATACTTGATGGGTGCATGCAGGAATGCAGTCTGTATACAAGGCTGAGCTTAAACAATAATGCGTAGCTTCTTTAAGAGTCACTGAAAATCTTATTAAAAATATAGGTTTTCAGACCGCAGCCCAACGTCCCAAGCCAAGCCCAGAAACCGTACTGGGACAAGCTCTCCGTGTGGTTGTTCGGAAGCCCCATAGCCGACCTCTTTCCCAGGGACAGTGCTCCGCCGCAGAATGGCCATAGAGAACCTACAGATGGCTCCACAGAGTCCCCAGGCCTGGGCACCGTATCCCGCTCCCCCCACTCCTCAAGCACCACTGCTTAAACGTGGAGTCGGCCTCTCTCGGGAGCCCGGGCCGTGCAGGTGGCGCCTAGCAGAGACCATTCCACGGACCGTGATGCGCAGATGACGGTTAAGCAGTTTAGGACACGACAGAGCCAAGTTTGTTGACACTGCTGCTGCTGACCCTGGTGGCCTTGGTGACGATGGTGACGGTGAGGGGGACCGCAGTGCTGACGACTTCTCGGAAACCCTGTAAGAGATGCATCAATGTTTTCCTCCTTTCACAGACAAAGCCGCGGAGGCTCCAAGTGCGGACTAGACTTAATGAAGGGCACCCGGGGAGGAAATGATGGAGCGGACGCCCACGTGCATCTTCATAGCTGTGTTTTGATAATCTGTGGAACCCCGGGGCTGAGGCACGGTTCTTGGGTAAGGGCCACATTCAGTTCTCCACAATTCTACCCTCGAAATCAGAATCTCTGCTTGCACTTCAAACAGGCACAACGGCAGGAATCCATCTAGAGCTTTTTTACCCACGTGCCCCTCTCCAACTGCCAGCCTCCCGTGAAAGCAGATTGTGGCCGTGGGGCCAGTTCTGATCAGCAGAACTTAAGAATCACCGTGCCCTCTTCATCTATTCCCGGCCACAGCGAACTCGGGGTCCGCTTCGTGTCGTGACTGGACTATCTCTGCACGAGGAACAAACGCTTATTAGTTAAGAGAATTAGTGGATTTCTTGGTGAAAGCTTCTCACAATAACTTCCTTGACTAATATTAATTCAGGGCTAATTTCTCCAACTTCCATCATCCATTGCAAAGCCCAGGCCTTCATGGTGGCATTTGAATAATTATAGGTATTGAATCATAATACGGTTACATTATTATTATTATTATTATTATTATTATCTTTCTTACGATTCTTAGCCTGCTTGGCCCCTGGAGGAACAACTCAGTTTTGTTCCATATTAAAAACTGACTTTTGGAAGGAGGCATGTCTTACACTCAGGGTCACCAAGGCTATTAAAGCTAAGAAAGCAGACAGCTCCTATTGGGGTCTTCATTTGCAAATCACACGATACATTAAGTCAAGAGGCTTCCAAAATAGGAGGATAAAAGCTTCAAACATCAAATCAGAAAGTGAAAATACAAAGACAGTGGTCACCACGTGGTTCCTGAGAAACAGCAGGCAAAACCCAAAGTGAGGGCAGCCCTCTCCCGGCATCCTTTGCCCACTCTTTCTGCCTTTCCTACAAAGAACCTTCCATGCCCCATAAAGATGCTCAAAAAAATGCAGCTGAATCGTATCAACTACTGGAAATTACAAACAGAATTTCATGAATATTACACTCCTTTCATGCAAAGAACCTGGAGAAGTTTTTACAAATAATTTAATTCAATTAATCCTTGAGTATTGAATTTCAGATGCTTGAATCTATAATTGAATCTTTTTAAGGAGGAGAAATCTATTACATGCACAAATACACTGACTCAAACCTTCATGGTCATAAAGAACCTTCTGGAAAGGGGGTGCTTGGCTGAAAGCTAGGTCACTCTTGACTTCACCGTCTCCTCATCAGTATCCTGCCGCAGCCCCTGCCCTTCGCTCATCTCAGCAACCCTCCACGCTGCCCACACCTGGTGCCCCCACAATCCCTGCAAAGCGGCTTCCACAGTCCCTGCGTTTAAGACACGGCCGGCTTCCAACTCCTGGACCTGACCCTCATTGGCTCAGACCCAGTGATGTACTCATCTCTGAGCCAATCATGGTGGGCAAGGGGAGGGGCTAGCTGAGGGGCTTAGACCATTCCGGATCCACGCCTGGAGTGCGCATGGGCTTTCCCAGAAGTTGGTGCAGTCGCAGACGGACAGACAGCTAGAGACCTGCCGTACCAACCCGCCAAAGTTCCTCTGCCGCAGTCGATTCTGGATCATCCTGATGTCCCTGGAAACTGAGTCTCTTGAATCTATGACACTTTACAAATAGACTCTGAGGCCCTGACCTGGGACGTCCCCAGCAAGGGAGAGCCCCGCAGGTTCGTGAGCTGGGCCCCCGCTTTGGGCCACGAGTCTGCTTGTGGCCTTGGGCCTGGCACTGGGCTCTGCTAACACGGAAGTTTCCAGGCCCACCTCCTGCTAAACAGAGCGCTGAGTGCTAGGAGTTGATTACGCTGGGCTGAAAGCATTCCACCTGTGAGTTCGTCTGGTCCGGGTTTGTCTGGATCAGGGGCGAGCAGCTCCCGTCTAATTATCTTTGTTCTACTGCCAGCCCCCTGGGAGCTCAAGAGTGCTTCCATAAGGGGACACTGTCAACCCAGAGGAGCTGGTTGACAGGCCAGGCCAGGGGGGAGAGCGGCGGCCTGGCCCAGGGTGAGTGCCCTGGGCGCAGGGTTCAGTCCACTGCTGGCTGTTTCCTCCCCCCACCCCCGCCCATCCAGACCCCTTTGTTGTTTGGTTTAAACTGAGGTCATTAGCTTCTTGGCATCGGAACAGTATTTCAGAGGGGGTCCGTGTGGGTCTATGAACCGGGTGGTTCTCTGTGGTGGGTGTCCTGTGCCCTGCAGAAGTTTGGCAGCACCCCAGCACCCACCCTGCCTGTGCCTGCACACCCACCCCCTGGGTGGTAACAACCAGAAGTGTCTGTAGATAGACATTGCCTGGTGTCCCTGGAGGCACAGCCGCTCCCGTTGGAACCACTGACCTGTGAACAGGCTGGTAAAAACAGCCCTGGACAGGCACCTGGGTGGCTCAGTCGGTTAAGCCTCTCTGACTTCAGCTCAGGTCATGATCTCAGTTTGTGAGTTTGAGGCCCAAGTCGGGCTCTGTGCTGACAGCTCAGAGCTTACAGCCTGCTTTGGATTCTGTGTCTCCCTCACTCTTTGCCCCTCCCCTGCTCATGCGCGCGCTCTCTCTCTCTCTCTCTCTCTCAAAAATAAACATTTAAAAGCAAAAAAATTTTTTTTTAATTTAAAAATTAAAGAACAAAAACAAAAAAACCCTGGAGCTCTCAGTAGATCCCAACTGAAAACTTTACCAAACTGGGTTTTTCCCCCAGAGACCGGCGCGTGTGGACCGTTGGAGGTGGCTCATTAATGTAACGTGAATAACCCTAACAACAAAATCATTCTCCTTTCTTTCCCCTCAGTCAGGTCACCGGTTAGTTAACACGGACACTGCAGTGTCTGGAAAGGGAACAGTGGCCCCAACGATATGGTTCTGAGAACCTAGGACCTGCTCACGGCCCTGTGCCCAGTGGGGGCCTCCTTCGTGGGTTCAGATTCATGGGTGGATTTTTATGTCTCCAACCGCATGACATAGCAGCCTGGAGAAATTTCCTCTTGGTTAAAGCAAGAGACCCTGGTAACACCACCCCACCAGGTAAGCGTGCTCATTTGGGATCCAGGGGGCCCGACCGAACGTCTCAAGGCACAAACTGTAGAATGAAGCTCCTGGTCTTAAAATAGGGCACATCGGGACCTCAGAGGGCCAGCTGGGCATGGTGAGCCCACCCAGCGCGGCTGCCCAGGGAGCCCACGGCTCAAACATCTGACAGGTCCCCTTGAGAACTTCCCCGGACCCAGCTCCTTCCCGGTCTGGCCACCTTCACCCCTACTCCCAGCTCTAAACAGAATCACTGACCCCCATCACTCACCTGCTTACCCAGCAAGGTCCCGAATGACTTTTGGCAGTTTCCAAAAATCTAATCCAGTGCCAGAAAGATACTATGTAACCTGTGCACTATGTGTCCTTATATTTTAAAGGATCTGCCACGGGATAGTGACAGACATTTTTGTGTGTGTTTATTTATTTATTTTTGAGAGAGAGAGGGAGAGACAGAATCCCAAGCAGGCTCCACAGTGCCAGTGCAGAGCCCGACACGGGGCTCAGACCCACCAACCATGAGATCGTGACCCGAGCCGAAATCCAGAGTCGGACGCTTAACCGACCCAGGCGCCCCTGTAACAGACATTTTTAAAAAGAATTGTAGAAACATATTAAGGAAAAATGCAGCATGTTATGACTGCAAAACATTAATCGTACAAAAATGTGTTTGAACGTAATGAAAAAATATCTCTTTGGTGGATAAGACGAACTAACAAAGGTAACTTCTCTAAAGCATGACGCACATTAGTACGCACACAAGGGTTTTTTCTATGTATAGGTTCGTTTCTCAGGTCATATAATTTAGGTGGCTTACTATTCTGCTTGGCTGTAAGTGACAGACAGCCCCCCCCCCCAAGTAAACAGTGGGCTGAGTTTCTTTTCCTCCTCCCATAAAAGTGCGCTGATCTGGCCCCTCGTGGCTGCCGGTGTGAGGGTCTAGGCTCCTCCCAACACGCGCTGCACGGTGGGTAAAGCTCTACACGTACATTCCAGAACTCGGTTACCTGGTCGCATCCAGGTCAGGCAAGTCCGGGAGATGTTTGCATTTGAGGAAGCCATGCTCTGGCTGAAACTCAGGGACCTTATTTCTTAGGAGAAGGAAGAAGGCAGCGGGTTGTGGGCTGGGTAGCAGTCTCGGCCACCGCCCACCCTGCAGCCACCCACATATCGGCGCTCGCCCTTCTGCTGCACCCACGACCTACCCCCGCCGCACCCCCGGACCCAGCGGCAAAGCCCCAGCCGGTCCCCACGTCTGCCTCAAAACGCAGGGTCCCAAGGATAACGCGGAAAACCTCCCCACCAGAAATGGTTCGACAAGCTACGAACCAGGCAGTCCCCGGCTCCCAGTCCACCCAGCATAAGGCGGGTGAGTGGGAAGGAGACGCCGGCACGAAAAACCCCCCTCTGGAGCAAAGACTGAGAAGCACAACCTCCCCTGGTCCATCCACGCGCGCCAATCCGAGCGGGAGGAACAGCCAGGACGCCACGGCGCCCCCGTCGGGGTCCTCGCCAGGTGCGTCTCTGCCGCCCCTGCCCCATGTGGGCGTCAGAGGGCGTGTCGTCCTGGGGTCTCTGTGGCGGTGGCTCCAGGGATTGCTCTGGGGCTGGACAGTCCCGGGCTCTTGCAGACCAGGCTGTGGTTTCTTTGGCAGAGTGTTTGTTCCAAAACGTGTGGACCTCGGATCCATCAGTTGCCCATCAGCTCTAGCCATCAAGGTAGTTTCTAACCCTGAAGTGCCTGGCTGTCTTCACTCACTGGCCTGCACGCGGCCCCCCCTGTCTCCTGGCGCGATGTCCTGGCCACCCTGAGCCTCTGGGGGCCACGGGCTTTGCTGCGAACTTCACACGGCAGTGGGACGGGGCTCGGTTTTCTTTTCTGCTAAGTGTGCTGCTTTGTGGAAAACCATCCCAGTTCTGGATGCCGTGGGAGAGCCTAGCAGTTGCTTTTTCAACCCTGCAAGGCTCCAAATTACCAGGCTCTCGGTCACTTTCGGTGGCAGGCTGCCGGCAGGGAGCATCTCCATCATCACAGGGCGTCCCCTCTTCCCACGCCTTCGCCGGCTGCTCTCTCGTAAAGCTTTGCTAACGGCAGCAAGCAGCAGCTACCACGCTTCTGCGTCATGGCTCTCTCCTGTCATTCCCTCCCTCGATCCGAGCTCAGAACACGGGCCACTTTTCAAAAAACAGTAGGGGACAGCTGTTAGCAACTGCTTCATTTCTCACGCTGTCACCAGGCCTCTGGCCCACAGTGTTTGAGTCCCTGACACCTGCCAACATCCACGGAGTCAGTGCCACATGTCTCTGTTCTGCTACTCACAGCTCACCTCTCTCGGTCCTTTTTTTTCTATCAGTTAAGATTAGATTTGCCTGGAAAATCCAAAGGAGCAGTGGCTTCAACGGGACTTTTAAATCTCCCGCATTCTGAGTCCACAGTAAGGTGGTCCATGGACAGTCCAGTGGGACTCCATGGCGGCAGGAACCTACCCGTCTTCTGTCTTGCTGGCGTGCTATATATCAGCGCTAATGGTGATGCCCAGGATGGCTGCCTCAGCGCCAGCCATCAAATCCTCATTCCAACCCAGTAGAAGAAGAAGCGCGGGAACAGACAGACACCTCTGCCCTCATCAGGGACACTTCCAGGAAGTTGCCTTCTGTTGGCCAGAACTTAGTCGCGTGGTCATACCTGGCTCAAGGGAGGATGGAAGGGTCACTTCCATTGTGGGTGGCAGAAAAGTCAAGTTTCTGTTGAGGAATGAGAGGTGATGGATTGGGGGGCAATTAGGCTCTGCTTATGTGGAAAAGTTCAGTATCAGTGTCTCTCATATTCTAGCTCTAGAATTCGCTAGCCTCCTCCTTCTTCAGGACAGATTTATGCCTCTGACATGCACCTTGCAGAAGAGATAATGACCGGACAAGGTGCGCAGTCTTCTGCCCACGCATCATTCTTGAGGATGCTTTTGCTACACCTACTTCACGGGGACATAAAGTGAGGGTCTCCGGGCTACTGTTTCTGTTGGGGAGGTTTTAACAGCTAGGACGGCTTCGGTGCTCAGTGAATCACAGAAGTGACCAAAACAAACACCTCCGATGAGAAGCACCCATAAAACCAACGAGACTATTAATGCAAATGGAAAACCAAAATTGATGAAATGCAAAATATTTAACTTCCCAGACTGCAGCTAGCCTTGGACTACTAAGTCATTTAGAGGCTAATGTTCTTAATAAAATCACATTTTCCCTGAAAATATTTACTATTTCTGTTTTTATTGCCTTCTTCATTGCTATTAATAAGATTTTGATTTAGTTCACGGATATATGTAAACTCAGCATTTTCACCAAAACCTCCTGATGCCAGTGTTTCTAACAGAAACTTCTTATTTTTAAATTTTTTTTTAAATGTTTATTCATTTTTGAGAGAGAGAGTTGGAGCCAGGGAGGGGCAGAGAGAGAGAAAGACAGTATCCGAAGCAGGCTCCAGGCTCTGAGCTGTCAGCGCAGAGCCCGACGTGGGGCTCGAACCCACGAACCATGACATCGTGACCTGAGCCGAAGTCAGACGCTTACCTGACTAAGCCAGCCAGGTGCCACAGAAATTTTTTAAGTCATGTACACAGACTGGAGAAAAACCTTGTGGTGAGAACATCCATGAATCATGTCAGTCGGGGTAAGTGATCATACATAATACAGACCGGCATCCTAAAGGGAGAGGCTGTATGCCTCGTGTGTGTCGCACAAACATCGTCTCTGCTGGACACCACGCCCCCCACGCTCGAGACCTATGAAAATGGTCAAGATCTGAAAAAATATTGCCTTCAAAACACACTGAGGGAGCAGCAAAATTAAAATTAATAAATGTCTAATTAAGCATCTACAAAATATAATACTTTGTTCTCCTCATTAATTGTTAAGTTCAGCATTCATGAATTTTTCATCAGTATTTTATTACTTTTGAAAACAATTAGTCGCAGAGTCTCTCATAATGCAAGAATTCACAAGTATACGCAGCTGCCAAGATTTCATAACCAGTAGTAAAGGAAGCAAGCTGCCTGTAGCCAAAAACAAACTTATTTAAAACCTTTCAGAGTTTGTACGGCAGTGTGTCTGTTTTTAACACAGGCTGTGGATACATCTTCAAATGTGTGATACGGGTGCGTATCCGCCTTACGCGCCTGGGTGGCTCAGCCGGTTAAGCATCTGACTCTTGATTTTGGCTCAGGTCATGATCTCAGGGTCCACAAGATCGAGCCCCTGCTTCGGGCTCTGTGCAGACAGTGCGGAGCCCGCTTGGGATTCTCTCTCTCTGCCCCCTCCCTGCTTGCACACCCTCTCTCTTTCTCTCAAAATAAGAAAATGAACTGAAAAAAAATTTAAAACACAAAATGCAAATGTTTGATACGATACGGAGTTTCCACTAAAAAATGCCTTCACCAAGGGTTGGCACACGTTAAATATGTTTGGCTTTGTGGGCATACAGCTCTACCGTGACAGCACAAAAGCAGTCATAGATGATACACAGACACTGCAAGAACAGAGCTGTGTGCTAATAAAACTTTATTTACAAAGGCAGATGGTGCACCATGTCCGCCCCACTGCCCTGGTTTTCTGGCCGTTGCCTCAGATCCAGGAAGGTCTAATGACCACCTGCTGATCCTGGCAACAATTCAGTCTCAAAAGGCATAGTTTTCTAAAAAGTTACTTTCATCCCCAATTACCCAGAGAACGTCCTGGACTCTCTCCTGAATCAGTGAAGCATTCGCACAGCTATTGTACACACTCAGGTGCCACGTCGATGTCCCAGTGTTTCCGAGATGGTTTCTCTTCCTCTTCAGTTACCCAGAGCCCTAGGTGATGAGGGAAGTAAGCACGTACAGACCCGTGAGATTTCTTTGAAGGAAATACTTCTTCAGGAAGAAGGGGAAGTTATAACCCTGAGTCAGCTGAAACTGCTTAATGTAATACTTCACTGATTCCACAGCCAACGTGTTTCTCCTGATACTTCCGGGGCGCGAGAGGGCACGGCAAAAGATGGTGCCCATCAATTATATACTTTTTTTTTTTTTAAATTCTGGCCCTGGGCTTTTAGATAGCCAATGCATTTATTAAAGTGTCCTGATAGCACTAGCCTTTTGCTGAGCAAAATTACTCACACAAGAAAACTATCTTGTTTTTATTCTGTTACTATCAACATCATCATACTACTGTTACTCTACTGCTTGGCGGTTCGCTTCTCTTGGTCCTTTCTTTTGTTTTTGTTTTTGTTTTGTCTTGTTTTGCTTTTATTTTTTTTAATCTTTATTTATTTTTGAGAGAGAGAGACAGACAGAGCATGAGCAGGGTAGGGGCAGAGAGAGAGGGAGACACAGAATCCGAAGCCGGCTCCAGGCTCTGAGCTGTCAGCACCGAGCCCGATGCGGGGCTCGAACTCACAAACCACGAGATCATGACCTGAGCCGAAATCGGACGCTCAACCAACTGAGCCACCCAGGTGCCCTGCTTTGTCCTTTTTTTGTATCAGTTAACATTAGATTTGCCCAGGAGTGGCAGAAGATCCAAAAGAGCTGTGGCTTAAACAAGACATAGTTAAATCTCCCTCATTTTGAGTCCAGAATAAGGTGGTCCAACGATCGGTCCAGCGGGGGCTTCCTCGTGTGAGGAACATACATTCGCTTCTGCGCCACACGTACATCTGTTACCCAGACAAGAGAACTCTTTATAGGGCAAATGTCCTACTATTTAAATTCTTTAAAAGAATTTTAAAAGAAACTACCCTCCCCCCCCACACACACTCACACACACACACCCTTAAACTAGCAGTAAGTAGACAAGTGAAAACTCAGTTTGGGTTTTTTTGTAATATTTCTCTTTTTTTTAAGTTTATTTTATTTATTTTAAGAGAGGGAGAGATAGGGCACGAGGGGTAGGGGCAGGGAGAGGGAGAGAGAAGCTTAAACAGGCTGCATACTTACACATAGCCCAACTCAGAGCTCAATCCCACGACTCTGGGATCATGACCTGAGCCAAAATCAGTCAGGCACTCAACCGAATGAGGCACCCACGTGTCCCAAGTTTGAGTTTTGCTTAAAGATAAAATCTAATTGGAATATATTCATTCCATGGCTACTAAATTCTGTTACATATGTATATAAATCCTTTCATATGTAATAAATACAAGTTAAATTACACCTATTCACGTTTTAAAGTATGTACAGCTTATAAAGTGATAACCATAATCCTTTGTCTTACGATAACATATTTCTTTACTCAAGAAGTGCAAAGGAACCAGTATTTGTTTTTTGACCATCACTGAAAATACTGCTCACAAATATTCCAAAAACATTTCCCTATTTATCTATTTTTTTTTACTTAAACTGAAGCAGAATCATACTTATAGAAATAAATAATCACTAAAAACTCTCTAGTTTACATTTTCCCCCAGTATTAACCTGTTGTCACGAAATTGCTGGCTAATCTATAAATTATCATTTCATTCCCCCCTCAGAGCTGGGCTGTTAACAGAAGGAGGGAGTCTCTCTTAAAAAAAAAAATAAAAAATCTGACAAGTCACATTTATAAAAAAAAGCATAACCTGTTGTTTTGCTTTGGCTCAAGATGCCCGGTCTGAAAATATCAGAATCCAGCCTCACAGTTTACCCTTAGTTTAGGACTAGGAGGAGGGTCGGGGAGAAGAAAAGTCCCTTGACTAGCATAGCAGGTGAACTCCCTTGAATACCCTCCACGAACTATCCCAGTTGTCCAGAATGGGCTGTTTTAGGCAGGACCACCTGACTCAGCATACATTTCTTCGAGCGGAGCAGCCTTTGAGGCCCGAGTCCGGTTCCGAGCAAGCAAGAGAACTGAGGCTTTCCGCTCCTTCGCACTCTCCCTCCTCCGCGTAGATGTGAGGCCGGTGACCAGTGTCACCTGCTAGGGCGTCAAGGCCACAGAGCTTCTGGAGAAAAGCCAGGGGAAGAGAAGGTAAGTGGCAGGTGCTTCCACACGCCGTCCGTTTTCTCCAGGGTCCACGGGGGGGCCGGGGGGGTTGGGGAGGGGAAGGTGGGGGGGGACTGCCCCAGTGCAGTGTTAATGGCGCGCTGCTCTTTGTCCCCGGCTGTCTCAGAAGTTTCTGCAGACTCAGAAACGGCAGCCGAGGGGAAGGAGACCACCCTCCCGCTCCCCAGCTGCTCTCCCGGAGGGAACCTGGCGAGCTCGCGGTCTGCGCGTCCTGGGTCCCCCCCCCCCGCCGCCCCCCGGGGGGGAACGGGGGGGGGGGGGGGGGGGGGGGCCCGGGGCCCCCCCCCCCCCCCGCCTTGACCCCTCGGGGTGGAGCCTCGCCACCCGCACCCCGATGCCCCCCCTCCTGGCTCCTGCTGTCCCGCCCCCACCTGCCAGCCTCCACTGAGCAACTCCCGCTCATCCTTCAGGGCCCAAGGCATCTCTCTGCGAAGACTTCTCTGGCTTGTTCCGGCCCGAGAGACTCACTAAATGTTTGCCGGACAGACTCCCACCTGCTCGCTTTCCAGCACCTCGGGGAGGGTGCCGTCTGGACCTGAGCCACGTCAGCCCAGGCGGGAGCGGGTTTAGCGGCAGATCCCGAGAGGGCGAGCTCACAGAGGGCACGGGGACGTTCAGAACCAGAGGGCCCAGAGCCCGAGGAGGAGGAGGCGGGAGACGGCCGGAAAGAGGAAGTGGAGGGGTCCTGGACACCATCTCTGTCCCCAAGCTCCCCGCTGTACCCAGCTTCCTGGGGCTCACGGGAGCCCCTCCCAGGCTCTATGTCCAGCGGGAGACGCAGCGTCTCAGCCCCGTGTCCACAGGCGCCCACAGGTAGGCCCCTGCCCGCGTCCGCTCGCTCGGGGACCGTGGTCACCGTCTGGCCATCACCCCGGGGGGCGGGGGGGCGGGGGAGGAAAGGAAGCGCCTCCAGCTGGCGACGTGCGCACGCTCTGGCCGAGGCCTCACCAGTTCCCCTCACGTCCCCCCCCAGGGGCGCTGGAGGGATCATGAATGACAACCCGCAGCGGGGTCCGCGCTGTGCAGGCTCAAAACCCCCGAGGCCGACGACGTGGCAGCGGCCCCTGGGCCCTGATGCAGCGATTTCAGAGGCCCCGCAAGATCAACAGCTCATCGTCAAGCCCCAACTAAGGTGGAAGGCTCATCGGGGAAGGAACCGGGCCTTTAACCTGCTGTTTCCTCCACCGATTCCACCGAGCACAGCGGTCCGGGCTAGCACCCAACACAGGCCGCCTT